GAGCAAGCCTCGCTTTTTCTAGGCTGAGGCACTTGTGGCGTCGCCACGACATTCGTCTCTCCATCAAAGGGCGGGTCTATTGTGCAACTGTTCGTGCTGTACTGTTGTACGGATGCCAGACCTGGCCCATTCGTAAAGATGACTTGCGCAGGCTATCCGTCTTCGAGCACCGCTGTCTGCGGTCCATTGCCCGTGTGTGGTGGCAGCACCACGTAAGCAATTTGGAAGTTAGACAGCGTGTCTTGGGACGTGGAAGCCACTCGCTCGAGGAGCTCATCTCACTGCATCAACTGCGGTGGTTGGGACACGTATTGCGCATGCCTGTCCAGCGTTACCCCCGTCGTGCGTTGTTTGCACTTGCTGGACAGGGCTGGAAGAGACGGTCTGGTGGACAGCCTACAACATGGAGAAGCCGCATGAAAAAGTTGACGAAACAGTTGGCCTCGGCCGGTTGTTGTCGACTACTTGGTTGGGGTCCGAGAGATGAGGATACTTGCTGGTTGAAGACCTTGGAAGTTATGGCTCAAGATCGATGTCAATGGCGGACGTGTGCATCGGTTTGTTGCGGTGTCCCTTCTTCCTCCCCCTAAAAAAAGAACAAACTGAAAAAAATTTCAAAAACTGTGAGTGGTAAACTTGACAAAAGCATTTGTTGTTGCTCTTTTCTTATTATTCATATTGTTTTCCTATTCAGCCATGATTCCGATAGCACAATATCTGTACCACAGATTGTGTATTTTATATATATATATATATATATATATATATATATATATATATATATATATATATATATATATATATATATATATATATATATATATATATATATATATATATATATATATATATATATATATATATATATATATATATATATATATATATATATATATATATAACATCGGTGGTGCTGTGACCCGACACGTCCGGTTCGACCTGTTTGAGGAGGCGTTTGAACAAGATCCGGGCAATCACCTTGCCCACACAACTAAGAAAGTTGGTACCATGATAATTCGTGGCACATTGCTTGCTCCCTTTGCCCTTGTACAGTGATAGCAGCTCAGGAGTTACCTCCACAATCCACATGCGTTGCACCAAGTGTTGCAGCGCAGTCACCATTGTGGGTCCGCTGTGTTTCAATACTTCAGGCGGGATCCCTCGGCACCGGCACACTTGCCGTTTCGCAAAGGAGGAAGTGCTCCCTGCATCTCATCCACTGTCGACGGTTCCGCCAGTATCAACTTCACATCGTGCTGCGTCAATCCGTTCAAGATAGGCCAGTCAGTCTACGAACGGCTGTTCAAGAGACGATCAACGTGATTTCGCCAGACCTACATTATATCTGCAGTCTGTGTGCAGGTAGCGCCTGAGCTACCATCGATCGGCGTCTTCAGCGGCTCCAATCTCGGTCCATGCATCGCCTTCAAGGAGTCAAAGAATTCCTTGTGTTGGCGGCGCTCGGCGCAACATTTCATCTGCTTCGACTTCACCGTCCACAATGCATTTTTAATGCGACGGAGCTCTCGAGTTAATAGTCGTCAAATTCTGCGAAACTGACTCTTCTTCCCCAAGTTACTGAGGTCTGCCACAGGTGCAGCAAATGCTGCATTCTTCTCCGACACCAATGCGCCAATCGTCGCATTGTTCTTATCAAACTCATCAGGACGCTTACAGTTTGCGTGCCCGATGGTCTCCTCAATAGCAGCTGTCACCTGGTCGCGAATGTGGTGCCACAGCTCACCCAACTTGGCTTTACCTTCCACATAATCGCCTTCTCCAGCTCCATCCTAGGGAAAGGACGTTTTATTTAAACCGGTTCACGGCGGGAGTGTAATAAATAGATTTACGAAAATATATGTACAGTTTGGTCGGCACCAATTTGTGAGTAGCGCACCACTCAGCTCCACGCAGTACACGTGTCATGCGCACTTCATGCATGTCACCCTAACGTACAATGACATAGTCGAGCAGGTGAGCGTGACCACTCCGTGGGTGCGTCCAAGTTGCCATATCACTCATCTTTAGTGCAAATCGTGTGTTCGTGATCGTTCGGCCGTGAGTGGCGAACAGTGAGAACAGCTTGTCACCGTCAGCATTCGCTGAACCAAGACCATGCGGGCAGATGACATTTGTCCAGACCGATGCATCATGACCAATGCGCGCGTTGTAATCAACAAGCAGAAATAGTCGGTCGCTGCTCGGCACAGACAGTATCACGGAAGATGATTGAGTGCAGTACTGATCGCTAACATACGTATCTACATACATTGAAGGTGTAGCAGTCAGACTCACAATTTCCACTTCGAACGCGGAAGGAACATGAAAAAGCCCTTGAGATGTCGCCGAAAACTACAAACTGTTGTGTGGGATTCCACAATGCCTAGAACTACTTATTTCACTGCAGTTATCCTAGCATCTGGACTTTGTTTGATGGACTACATACTTGCACTAGCTAATGAGCAGAAAGATAGCCCAGAGGTGAAGAATATATGATACGCTGCAACATACGGTCGCATGTTGCGTCATAGATTAGGAACAGGCAACAGACAAGCTGAAATACCCGCGACGACTGGCTGGAGTACAAATCACGAGTTAATTAGTTATCAAGATCGGTAAGCAGTACGCGTACAATTAAATTTGTGCGATTATTGTATACTTGAGAATTTCTATGCCATATAACCACATACTACAACATTAACAGTGATTTGCGTGGCACATGAATGTGAAAAGGGGCGTTTTTCCACGCGGGCATCACATAACGACAGACCCAGAGGAAGGAAATAATGAAGGTATACACTTTCCTTGTGGCGTGCACAAGAGCGATCCGCTACATTATAACACCGGTGAGCCGTGCTGGCTAAGGAAGCGGGATCAGCAGCGCGCGTCGCCGGTGTACGAGAGATCCGGTCATGGGCATGTTTTTCGGTCTGGTCAAACAACTTGAACTTATAAGCAAAGTTTCGCATGGGTCGCCTAAGTGTACCATAGAAGAAATAAGTTAAATCAAACTCCAGTTTGCGAAAAAGCGTTTGTTTTTCTATAACTCGTCAGGTATTACTTTATAAGAAAGTGTAAATGAACCCAATATGCTAGTGAAAGCAGAACTAAGGCTAATACAGATTATTTGAACAATGCTGGTAAAATCAAGCAATATTAATGTCGACTGACTTCGGTCAAGTATCGGGACAGCCAGTAGGGTAGGGATCACGCCTTCAGCATCCAACGCGGGAGGATTGCCACGGAGCCATGGTAATAGGAGGGCTTGCACAAGAGCCCTCTGCTTGCACAGTTCAGGTTGAATCATACTGATTGCAATCGCTTCCGCCGTCTTCAAAAGCGGTTCTCTAAGTCCCTTGGAATATTGCTTTGATACAGCGTAGAAGAGTTGGAAGGAATCTTCTGTCCGTATCCCATGGCCACTTTGAAGCAAGTGCTCCATGATAGCAATATTAAGATTTTTGGCAGTGCCCCTTCATAGTGATGCTGGACAGTGCTCTGCTAGCCGTTTGGACAGACGTCTGGTCGTGTGCACAATGTATCTTACTGTTAATTTAAGAGCAGAATTAAGTTACATTTCAATGTTAACAATCATACTCAAACAAACCAGGAAAATCTCCCGACTGCTACCTAATTTCCATGCGCAGTGCCATTCGTCAATTTGATAGATGCCAGGGTCCCATTCTGAAATGACGAGGTCACCAACCTCGTCCGAGCCGCCGAATCGCAGAGGCTTCGGGAAAATACTGTAGGCGATAAGGACACTGTTTGTTGAATATTCTGAATTAATCACCGGGATTTTGGCAAGTAGAACAGACCAGTAGGTACCATGCAGTCGAACTGGCATATTTCCGTGTGCACGATTTCCTTGTGCGCAAATTTCCGTGTGCGCATCGATTTCAGTGCGCAATTTTCGTGTGCGATTTTTTCATGGAACCGGCACCGTTAATGGACCACCAAGCGAGACGTGGTTGGATGAGTAAGGGAATCTGTGCGATGCAATGCTAACCACGTTTTATACTGAAATGAGGATGCAGCACCAGTCTCGCGCGAGTTTGGTGTAGACTAAGAAATAGAACGCTGCCTAAAGGAAAACCAGTAACATTAACATTATAATTATTTTTCTTAGTAGCATTAGCGGTTTCATGTTTCTTTTCGGAAACGGTAGGCCCCCCAAAATGAGTAATTTTACGGTCACCGAGTTGTTAAGTGAAACGAAAAGTATTCGCCATCCCGTAGGCTATAAAAGTGGTTTCATCAACGGATCGAATGAGGCATAATCACCACCCCATGTTCCGTCCGAGACGCCCCTTTTCCCAAATGTGCACTTGAGATCGCGTAGGACATAAAAGTGATTGAATGAAGTCCAATCACCACCCTATGTTCCATCCGATAAGCTCAGTTCCCAAAAACGTGCATCAGTGATGAGGGTAATGAAGAAAAATCGACCAGACCCGAGCCAACCGCACATCCTCTTCCCGTACCTCCCAACCTTGTTTCGCCAGGCTTCTGATGGATGTGTGAACGGAGCTCCGGATGATGAAGCCCAAGCCACCCACAATCCCTTTGTAGGCGCACTAGTCGTGCACATGACCAAAGGTAAAACTAAAAGCATAGGTGACCGACAACGAACGCGCTACGTGTAGGCGGGCATTCAACGTCGTCGTTGCTCGGACTTGCGCATAACAAATTCCTATCCGAATGTGAACACCAACAGCAGGAAAGAGATGTGCGGCCATTCCTTAGCTCATGAATGGATGAGCGAACAAGTTGCGATGAGAAATATTTCTCACCAAACAAAACATTTCCACCTGAGTATGCGCACACGACGGTTTCAGTAGAGAAAATAATACGTGAGATAAACGATATAACAGGCTCATTCGTTTCACAAGAAATGAACTGATCAGACAAAGCGAAATTTCTACAGAACAGAAGACTAAAAGTGAACAAAATGCGTTGTAGTATGGCCTAAAAGCAATTGATATCAATTGTGCACTTACTCAAATGAACAGAGTTGATGTGGCAACGTAAATAGTGTTTTCGGGTAAAAGATTTGTCACAGCGCACACACGTATTGTCGCGGTGATCTGAATTTGGGAAAAGAAAGTGGGTAATTGCTAGAAAAATAAGCGCAAAATACCGAAATATCAGCCATATCGAGTATACGGAAGGGTGGGAAAAACGATGAAAAATAATTTCTGGCATTCGCTACATAAAAAATGGGCTGCTAATCCTTAAGTATCTGGTAACGCGAGGGGGACCAAACTAGTGGGTGAGGTGCGCGAGGTAAAAGCCTGATCCGGTCGCAACCGATTAGCCGTCACGTCCCTCTCTCAGACCCTAAGCATCATTCCGCCCACCTATTCCGAGCACATCCCTTCACACCGATTTGTCCGATACTGTGCCAAGGGCTGTAGTCACAAAGTACATGTCATCTCAGACTGTTGGTCCAAGTGGAACAGAGAAGCGGCTATTGTTGCAGTCTTGGGTGACCCTCTGCAGTTTTCCATGTGACGGAGAAAGGGCATTAAAGAGTGGAGCCTGTCGAACAGTCGGTATACTGGGATTACAGTGAGTTCTCCAAGAAGCATAGGAGGCGTGACCCGGACGACTACCGCATTAGAAAAAACTCATCGCTCACCTCATTAACGCCCCTACCGTTCCTTTGAATGCGCGTAATATGGATGCTCTGTCAGTGAATAAACCAGCACTTGTGGATCAGTTATATAACAAACTACTAAAGAAAATGTGCACTATTTATTGGAGGATCAGGCATGTAGACAGATAGTTGGTGCGGTCATGGGTAGTCCGCCTGACCAGGTCCTAGCTGACATCTTCGTGGCAACAGTTGTGTCGAGGAGCGGACCCACCTCAGCTACACCTGCTTATAGTGGTGGTATGTGGATGACACCTTAGTGATTGCCCCAATGCACAGACCAATCAGTCTATTCACGAAGTGCTCAATAACCCTCATCCTAAAGCAAGTTTCACGTGTGAAAAAAAGAAAAGAAAGAAAAGAAAATTTCTACTCTCGAAAACGCGACGCAAGCCTTTAATGGTATGATCACGTCTGGCATTTCTGAGTGTTTTGTTGACTAGAAGGGAAAGCGGCTCGATAAGGACTGTATATATTCAACAGCTTTACGTCGCTGTCCTGTATAAACAATGTTAGTTAAGTCCGTAGAATTTGCAGTGCCGACTGTGTGGAATCAGAATTGTAGTTCATCACACAGACAAACGATGCCTCGGCACATTTCTGAAGCTCAGATTCCGTTCGTTCATCGTGCTTACCAATGAAGTGAGCTCAGCCACCCTTTGGAACACCGAGGCTACAATAATACAATATAGACCATTTTCATCTGCAGCCGAGAAAATTGGCCCAGTTGTGAAAAACTGCAGATAGTCTATTGGCCTAGTCGGGTTTTGGAGGCGATCTCTACCTGATGAATGCAAACAAAGACGAAACTTGTCATCGAGGGCATCGCTGGGAGAGAGCAGCGCTGAAACCCTGCACGCACAAACAGCCTATTTCTGATCACCGCCGCTCTCGGAGCATTGCTGGTTGACGAGATAACATTGCACTCTTGACGATGACGGTTGTCGACGGAATGTCAAGTCAGAGACATCGTCGACGACTCAGTTACGCAATTTCACGACTGAGCCTACGGTGGACAAGACACATGCTTCACATGTTTACAAAGCGGTTACCTCATACAGCTGTTGGCTAAAAGTGGTGGAGTTCGGCCAACGACTGATCAGGTCTCAGAGCACCAACCTTAAGACTTTTCGCAAATAGGCGATCTCAATGTTTAGCATTGGGACTGCAAAAGAGTGAAGGAAATTCCCAGGTTCCATGTATACTTCGATTATGGTTCCACAGCACTTGATAACTTCATGTTTAAATACAACCACTTCGCCAAAAGACAACATCTGCTTGCTCGGTGAGTCAGTGTTTCGACATTCGTATGGTGATCCACAAGAATCAAGTCTGCCAAGTTTATCTTCATGCGTCCTACGAAATGAGCACATGATTAAGTGCTCACATCAGGGCTATGGCTCACTAGCCCAGCAAATCAGCGACTCCAATTCGACAGTGCTAGTTCGTTTATTTTCGTGGTTTTTAAAGCGAACTCACTGCATCACTTGTACCGTCGCCTAGTGTATTGCATCACTTACTGTGCCATGCTTAACCCACACGTTCATCCGAAACAGCGCAATTGTGCTGACCAGTTGTCAACGAGTTGACAGAACAGTCCACATAGGCGGTTTGCTACTTATGACTTGGAGGCAGAACATGGAGGCACTGCAACCCCTAGCAAACGAGGTAAGACCGGCCTGTCCAACATCTTCGGAACTCAGTGGTGGCACTGTTGGCATGACATTCTGCTTGCCCCTCCAAAGGGAGGGAGCGTCGGAAACGATGATGCGGGCAAGTATGGAAAGTCACAGCCCAGAACACGGGCACAATTAAAAAAGCTCAACAGCATCAAGCGGAGAAGTCGCGTTCCTTCGACATTGCCTCACGAAATTCAGCGCGTTGCTGCCCCAATATTTTTGGGTGGGTTTCAGCTTAAGGCGCCACCGCTTACAGATCTCTCCGAGTCATTAGGGCTTAACCCAACCATGGTTCAGCATATATGATTGAAAAAAGCCATCATGGCATGCAACATTCGGACAATTTGCACATTTTACTACAAGTGGCACCAGCAGCATCGTCATAATGTCAGAATAACAACTCATGGTGTCAAGTCACAATGATCCTCCAGACGGAGAAACATCAATAACTAGATGCAGGCAAGCAACAATCGAAGTCGTAACGCAGGACACGCCGCGGCCGTTAACTAGACAGGTCTTGGCCGATGTTCATTGCAGCCTGCCCAAGTACCAACCACACAAGTCTCATTCGCCACAATGAGGCAATGTAGTCTCAACTCGCTCTCAGTCACAATGCGCCAGCATATCGGCCTAGTCGTCAGAACAGTGATCTTAACAGATGTCGCCGGAGACTTGCTAGACATGACTCAAGTAAACAGAATAGCCCACGTGATAGCGCTCCAATGTGTCCTGCGGCAACAACCCAGGATGTACGTTCTACGTAAAGGATAGAGAACCTTGCATCACTACTCTTATCAAAAAAGGTACAAAAAAGAGTTTCAACCTTGCCAACATACACCGCAAGCAGTCGAAGCTCGAGCACAGATTATGTGGGGCTAAGGATCCCCCGACCACCTTGTATGTATAGCGCACGAGGCGTTGGATCGCGATTTTCGCCGAGACTTCCAATGGGTTTCAACGGTTGCTCCCGGTTACCGGTAGAGAATTCCTCCGATTCTTTGGGTGGCCTCAAAATTAAAGTAAGTATATCGTTATGAATTCGGAGTGATCTTTCAGATGGCCCGATAATTAGCCCTGCACCAAGTACCACGAATGAGCCAAGATACTGCGAGAGCCTGGTCCTTGAGCGTCAGCGATTACCATGACTAACGGCCAGAAATCAATCGCTCGCGAAAGTGGTAGCTCAAAACAGTCATTCAGTCAATGAAAAGCATCAAGAGTACGCCGATGCGGTGCCCCGACACTTTACTGTCACCTGACCATCGTCAGTCGCTCGCATCTACGCAGATTCGAACCGGTGACTATTGGACTAAAAGTCGAATGCCTTATCCATCCGGCCACCTGCGCTGAAGCCTCACTGAAAAAGGTTGCTCAACAAAAGTGCAGAACTTGAATACACATTTCAGCGCAATAACACTAGGCTACCGCTTCCTCTTCATATGGTCCCACAGGAAGTCGGTTGGTTAGCGCCCATGTTCAATGAACACGGAAGGAACGCATCACGGCTGCTCTGGTAGGTTAGTTAAGTAAGACGAATTCTCGTAATATCAAGCTGCTTCGCTCTGCCTTAACGGCTCCAGTTAGATTGCGTAAATGAGGAATCCTCTTAAGTATGCCGTAGAAAATGCATTCAAGGCCCGCTACACGCCCAACTTGAAATGCATGGAGTTCTGAGGCATTGATCAGTTTGGTCGATACACAGGTCCCTGTGGACAATGTGCTTCAAGAGGTCCGTAACGCACCGAAACCTAATTAACCGAAAGCGCTTTTAGGTGGCGAGGGCTCGTGAGATGGAGAAAGCCAATTAGAAACAGCCAAGTAATCTTCCAGCCCACTTAGAATACGGATCCAAGAAAGCCATCACCTAGTGAAACATAGATGAGAAATACTAACACCTGACCCATCCTCAGCCGCTTCGACCAGCCCGTTAGGTGGAACATTTTGTAGAGCAGTTTAGAAAGCCTGCTGCGTCACTGCCACATGCTGAATGACCTGGGCCGACGCGGGATGTTGACGTCACCCTTACCAAATTAGAAGAGAATCCACATGAGGTTGTCGTGCTTCAATGACCTTCCTCTATCGGTGCTTAAAGATTGTGGTAACTCTGTTGATTAGACTTGCTGCTCTATTCAACACTATTTGATACACTGAAGCGTCACCTTCAGAATGGCAACTGTCAACTATCGTGCCAATCTTCAAAACAGATCAATGGACTTTATGTGAAAATTCCTGAGGCATTAAGCTTATTACCGTTACCACCAAATTTTTAACGGGTATCATTCCTCGACGACTTAGTGCTCCCAGTGAGAACTGTGTGATAACTGACAGGCTGGGTGGTGCTTGTTCCGAACACATACATACCCTTCGACAAGTCTTGGAGCAGATACACACTTACAGGAGACCGACTCTGATGGTTTTCCTAGACTAGAAAGCCACCTTCGACTGTTGATCGCGCCAGCTTGTGGCATTGTCTATCCATGACTCCCGAGGCCGAGTGAGGGTCTGTGGGAAGTTGTCTCTTGGGATCTACACGACAACTGCGGTTCGCCCAGGTTGCCCTATAGTTTCTTTCCTCTTCAACTTTGAGACCGATATGATCACAAATGATTCCGTGCCATTAGACTCCTGCAGAGAAGTAGTTCTGCCAGGTGACCAACTGACAAACCCTGAGTATGCAGGCGACATAGCTCTCCTTGGGTCTGACGCGGCGGCTATGCAAGCACCATTGGATACACTGGTGCGCAGCGCTGTAGACAAGCAAAGAGAACTCAAGATACTGGAGGTTCCCGCCGCTGCCCACGGCACAATTTAACGACATGATTGCTCTGTGGAAACGTGGACTCATACATCGTATTCGACTTCTCAGACCCCGAACAGCGTTTCCAGGAGAAAATTTTGACCAACAAAAATAATTCCCATCTAGTGAGCACATTTTCATGAAAGCTGTGTAATGGTTATATTATTGCTGTTCTACCAAAAACCCCACTGCGCGTGCCCATTGGTTTCCGTCTGTACGAAACAAAATTTGCTCGGTGGGTCGGTGCAGTGAGGTCCGTTTGTGCCAACTGCATCGGTACATATCCTACTGTTAGACTTACGAAGTTAGTCTGCAAAGTTCCACAAAACAAGTGGGAGCTAAAGCCTGATCAGACCGTAGGAACACGAGAATGCCTAGTTGTGAGCACCAAATTGTAGAAGTCCGGAAATTTTGCGGTTGGTCTGTGTAAAATTAAAATTATTTCATTGTACAACTAGGCGACCGGTGTGGTTTGTTGAACTGATTGCTGAGTTCGAATGCTTGACTTGATCATCGCCATTTTCGCTTGGCGCTCATTTCGGCTGCAACGCGCAATCACCTTGTGTGTTGTGCATTCTCCGTTCCCCTAGCTAGAGCGTCAACGGTATCATTTTTTTATAGCTAGGCAATAGGGAATCTTTTACTGTTATAATAAACGTTTCCCTGCAACCCGATCTGTCTTTTGAACCGCTCTCTGGGCACCCGCTAAAGGCCACTTGCTAAAAAACGGAACTTCATTCCTTTGGCCGCACTTTCTGTCTTATTACTTTCATGTATGTAAATCGAACAACTAGACAAATAGGAAATTGCATGTATAATTATGTATGTGTGAACAAACTGTTAACTGATACCTTGGTCTAGAACGTATAATGTCTTCGCTGCTCTAATTGTGGATCTGCAACGTTTGTCCGAAGGATGTACAGGAGTGCCTTGCTCAGTTTTAAATGACTGATCCAAAGTACACTGAGTGTTGGAATCCAGTTGGTCATTGTCTTGAGAACCTGGGAAAGCAGCAATGGTTGCCCTGTTTGGAGATGCAGCTGCCGAGTATGCATCGGTGGGCTCAGGCTTTGGTCTCAGAATACAGAGACTCAAAGGTTGCCTCATCTGTGAGCACCGCACAGCGTCATACTGACCAAAAAGAGAGGACATGAGCAACCAAGTATTCAAAACCAGCTCAAGTTGCCACCTGACGTATGTGATCACAAGCTCGCGCACAACTCAAGAACAAAATGTGGCAAACACAAATGGAGGAAGTACCAAACTAGAGCGGGAAATAGCCGCTCTACTCTACAAAATTTGAAATCAGGTTCAGACTAACAAGAGTAACTAAATCCCCCATCATCAGACTATCAAAGGGTTTAAAACACTGTTCAAACGCCTGACCGAAGGGATGTTGATTTGGTTAAGCCGAAGTATACTGTCACATCAACAACAGTAGCAAAAAGTACGTCGAGCATAAGCGCTCGATCATGACCATGTCCATTGCATCAGCTAAGTCTGTCGACAGCCACAAAATGTTAGATAGATGGCATAACAAGTTGACCTCTTTAGAGCACCCGTGGCACAAAGGTTACTAATAATCTTCCATGCCTACTTGGCGGATGCCGTGATGGTGTCATCAAAAAGGATAAAAGCACATCCATGCTCTTCTACAACTGATTGCTGTCACACAATCAGTGCAATCAATAGGTAAAGATGCTAATGATGAAGGGAAACAGGGATAAGAAGCAAGCAGAATAACTAAGCATTCAGGAACAAAGTAGTTACACTCTATCAACACCGTTCGGTTAAAAAAAATGTGGTTATTTTATGAAGAAACGGGAATAGCAAGGAGACAGCTTTTTTGCGATCCTCGGTGCATAGCTTCATGATCAAAGCAATTCCATATCCATATCCCTATGCAGAAGTAGCGAATATCACAGGGTAGTCCAAAGGTGGTAAGCACACTTCTGATGAAAGTAAATATTTCTACTTAAAAAGGGACAGAGAAATATGACTTACAGTCTAGTTATCTCAGAGAAAAATACGCTGTCAATGTGATTGGAGGGTCAATTTCGGAGTACACGCTGTGTGATTGGATTGCGAGTCACAATCGCAGTGCGGACCGCGGTTCACATTGAAGTGAACCTTGGTCACTGCGATCACTAGGACTGTAGTCGAAACAGACTGAAATTGAGTGTTGCAGTGTTGTGCAGTGTTTTCGAGCGGGGAACGTCCAATTCCCATAAGCTATCAATGTACATTGAAAATTCGAATACTCAAAGTCAGGATACTGGATGCAAACAATTACTAGTCAAGGTAGACTGCAGAGATTGTTAAAACGCTAACTCTTGCAAGTTCAGACGGTCTGACTCCGTCCCTCATGGCCCAGTGGCATACGCCGCTGGCTAATTGGTGTAAACTGCTAGTGTCCATGGGTTCGATCCCCAACCGGACACTGATGGAATGCGCAAGACAAAAAAGCAACAGCAGAACGAAACTATTGTCTGATGCTTCTGAACAGCTGAGAGGAGCTAGCAAAACTTCATTAAACGCTAATGATAACGTTGTGTGCCTTGACCGGATACCTACAACAAAAGGTTTGAGGTCAAATGTTACCGGAGGCTTGTAAAATGATCAGCTTACTTTTACATCCCGAAAATACCACATACAATAATTGCTGGAGCCCCACAACTCAAATCACACGCAAACAGAAAGGTGTTGCTAATCAACGTCCTCTATACGCTGATGGGATGCACTCAGGCTTAACGGATCCAGGTTTTAGTCAACTAGAATCCAAACCCTACGAGCGCACGGCACTACTATGCAGCCACTCAAGAGTATGAAGAGGTGAAAAACATCTCTCGGAGAATGGAAAACTTTGAGTAACTAATAAAAACACACCAGCAGTTTTCAACTACTAAATCCCATACGACGACAGATACAACGACGATGGATACATAGCAACTGCCAGGGCGCCTGAACTCAAGCAGCAGCTGCGTCTCAATATACTAGACGTCGAGATTACGAGTCAGACGCATGAGCTGCTGCATCAAAAACTTCAGAGGATTCGTTGTGGTAAGAATATAAGTAAACAAAAACAGCAGCACATCAGCCACCTAAACTGACACTTCGCTGCCGTACAATCACAATGACCTATGGAATAGAGAGCAATGGGACGGGAACGTAAAACGCATCAGCAGTACGCCGGTACGCAGTACCGACGCTTCGCTGCCGCGCATCCACCACCGGTCGCACGTGGGCTAAGGATACTGCCAGGGTTGCACTGCCCATAATCAAGCTCGAATCTGCGCTGTAAGATTAAAAAACAAACTACGTGCCGGATATAAATGCCTTAAGATAACATACAGCGTCAAAGCGACGACACTTTAACAAAACACTGTCACAAACAGCTGGCTACTGGTGAGACAACTTCCCTGGGATTTCCACCGCACTGCGTAATATCCAGCCGGTACACCATGGCAAACAGCCTCAGGAACAAATGGAGCTTGCACTCTGACTAAACGGCAACCAACGCGTCAATGGTGCCGACTGCGAACCATATCGTGTAAATTCACGAGCCAAGCACAGGGCAGGATTTGTTGACACTAACAGGGAAGACAGCCGGACTAACAACACCCAGCTTAATCGGAAGTGATTCCATTTAAAAGCAACTTTACTCACCATCAGCCTCCCGCCATCTAACATCCGGTAAATAAAACTTGACTCTTATTAGTAAGCGGTGAATACGAACACGGAGCACGTACCCAACTAATTAGGTTATATCCGCCAAGTATTGTGGTAAGCACATCATCGTTCTGAAGATGCTGGTGCCATCCGACACCATCAACGCTTCTTAAGCAATGACGGTCAGACTAATAAGCGCTCCAGATCTTCAGATCGAAGGGGATATGTCTATAAAGAGGAGGAAAATCATCACATAAACCTTGTACATAGGCTCTTTCAGACCGAAGTTTATCGACTTCTGGCGCCACGGATGTCTCAACCTCAGAACAGTGCTAACCTTCGAAATGCTTTTATTGTTGACCATTGGTGTGCAAAGTCAAAGATCGAAGCTTACATCAAGCTGCCAATCCAGAACTGTGTCAACAATATAAGGAAAGAGTATGCCTGAATAAAGAGCTATAAAAAGGTGGCGGAACCGTACACTCGGTTGGTCAGTGTGTTTGCGTGTTGTGTGTAAGCTATAGGGAGGAGGCTCTGCGGATATACGTAACGTACATTTTGAGTTTCCCGTGAATCGTGAAGGTAGATCCAAAATGCCGAAACGTGAAAGACGCAGGAACTTGCGAGGTTTCGCTTTAAAAGGAAAAGTAAATCCGCGGTTGCTCAAAACCACAGAAAATCGCATGTGCATGGGATACGACACCATACCCGGTCAATTTCAGTTTGTTGACTTGCTACAGGCTCTTGGCGTCATAGACTGCAATATCCATAACATATACGGTAGTCTCTATGAGAGCGAGCAGGTCGGGCTTGATAAAGAAGCTCAAAGTGGGCACTCTGGGTTCTAGTGTAATCTGAATACCTCGATGGCAAATTGCAGTCACAAGCTATTTCGCCATGTTGGAATGCCTTTTACAGCGAGAATCGTGCGTGACTGCAAATGACTGAACTGTGTGACAGCGTTTCATTCAAGCAACATGCTCCATGACAATGAGGGAGGTTGTCTTCCCTAGCTCTCTTTAATGAAGAACCGAGGGAAGATCTTGATAGGTTATCTGAACCAGTGGTGAGTTGAGAGTGCAGTTGTAACGTCCCGGAGCGGTAACCATGGTAGACGGAGATGGTATTCCGAGGCCAAAATCTTCGACAGCGCAGTGGAAGTGGGCAACCGATGAATCCTTGGTCAGTCACGCCATTTGCGTACATGGGAACAAACTAATCTAAGGCATAGCGATGTACTATCACCACAGACAGGCTGTGAATGAGACGGGGCAGTAAGAAGTTGTGATGGTTACACAACCTGTTGTGACTGACGATACGGAGTCGTGCAGTTTTCTGTTGCAATAGAGTACGTATCCGCGGCAATGGCCTGAGTTTGCGCTTAATGACCAAAGACTGTCTGGTTCTAGATGGGTGGTAGCAAACCAATGAGCTCGGGTGGTGCTCTCCAAATGCCAAAGACAATGCCTGGAGCGCGTGTTCTAAATCAGCGCGTAACCGATACAAGTAACAGGCAAAGCATTCGCCTGTTAATTGTAGAGTAAAAGTGCAATTGGACAGCTTATGAAAGAACTAGGAGTGTGCGGATAGCCAAGCGAACACGGCGTGATTTACGTGTCATACCAACCCATCCGACACAAGAAAAAGTCAGCAGCCGTGTTTTCACGTGTGTCCCGGAAAAAGTAACGTACTGCCTAAATTTGGCACTACATCGTGTGTCGCCGCTCGAAATTTACACGTACCTACTTCTCAATAGAATGGTATAGCATGTTAACGAAAGTGCATGCCGCGGAGTGCTCAATTTGTGAGCGCACCGCAGTCTCGCTGAGACGAATTTTATATACAAACTGGTAACTCGAGCAAACTTCGAGTGTAGTATGATGTACACAACTGCTTTATGAGGCGCTGGAAGTCGATTTGCGATGAACGCATGAAGTATTTAAGATCAGTAGAAAGGCGCTCGCTAGATGTCTTTCGCGATAACGAGTGTCGTCCGGAATTTGTCTAAACATGCACGCAAAGTGGTCCCTCTGTGGCAGTCCATCGGTCAACCCAGTTTAGCAGGAGTTCAGATTGTGGTTCTAAAAGGTAGATGGGTGCATGGAAGCTTTTATCTCGTACGACAAAATGTTCCTTGTTGTCTTACTTATAAAAACGATAGCGATGGATGGTAGCGGAAGTGAAGGAAGTAGCACACGATGTGATTGCGCGATCGAGGACAGACAATGCGCTCAGCAAAAGACTGCTCGATTCAAACAAACAAACTCAGGGAGACAGTAATTCTAGTAATGATTTAACACAACGAACTGAGGCAAACCGCTCTTCTAGAGACGGTTATCGAATGTAACTTATTCCAACATGTCACAGCGCCTACTCGTATAATTGCAGGACAAACACCCCATATCCTCGACCTTGTACTCTCACCGGCACAATCAGATGTCACCGACCTAGCCGTTCTCCAGCCTATTGGTAAAAGCGATCAC